CATCTCGATGTCAAGTCAGCCTTCCTTAACGGAGATCTTGAGGAGGAGGTTTATGTCATGCAACCGGAAGGATACGTTAACGAAGACCAAAGTCACAAGGTGCAGAAATTGTCCAAGGCTTTCTACGGTCTCCGTCAAGCACCTCGAGCTTGGAACACTCGTTTAGATAAGAGTTTGAAAGGGTTGCATTTCTGTAAAAGCTCTCAAGACCCAACCGTCTATACAAGAAACTCGACAGGTAAAGTACTTATTGTTGGAGTTTATGTGGACGACTTGATAATTACAGGATCGAAACAAGAAGATATTATCGAATTCAAGGAACAAATGAAGAATGAATTCGAAATGAGTGACTTGGGGCTGTTGGCATACTATCTCCGTATTGAAGTGTTGCAAGTAAAATCGGGAATTACTTTGCGACAGACGTATTATGCCAGGAAGATTTTGGAGTGATTCGGTCTGGAAGATTGCAACCCGGTAAGGATTCCCATGGAACCTAAGTTGAAATTTGATCACGATGAAGGTGGTGAACAAGTAGATCCTACTGAATACAGGCGAGTGATTGGCTGTTTGAGGTACTTGACTCACACTCGCCCAGACGTGTCTTTCTCTGTTGGTTTAGCAAGCCGGTTTATGGAGAAACCGACAACTTTGCATTTTAAAGTTGTGAAACATATCTTAAGGTATGTTAAAGGCACTCTCGATTATGGGATTAATTACGGGAAAGGTCATGAGATCGAGCACTTAGTTGGGTTTACCGATAGCGATCGTGGTGGCGATGTGGTCGATGGTAAAAGTACGAGCGGGATGATTTTTTATCTCGGGAAAAATCCGATAACATGGCAGTCCCAGAAACAACAGATGGTTGCTTTATCTTCGTGTGAGTCCGAATTTATTGCAGCAACAGCAGCGGCATGTCAAGCTATTTGGCTTGCAAATTTGGTGAAGGAATTGACGGGTCAGAACTTGGAGCCGATCACTCTCTTTGTCGACAACAAATCGGCAATCGCTTTGATGAAAAATCCCGTATTTCATGGACGTAGTAAACACATCAATACTCTGTTTCATTTCATTCGTGAACGTGTTGAAGACAAGCAAATCGTGGTGGAACATGTCAGTTCGAAGAAACAACGAGCAGATATCTTTACAAAAGCCTTGCCACAAGTAACGTTCATTGAAATGCGAAATGAACTCAGTGTGACAAATGTTGAGTTTATTCCAGTTTAAGGGGGAGATTATGAGATGTAAACTGGACTCAATTGGCCCAACCCAGTCCAGAAAAAGTCTCAAGAATGAGTCTTCTGCATGTTGCATTTTTTCTGGAAGTAGTGGCTGAACTTTCTCACACTATCTACTTCCTTAGTTGTTTTCTTCCTTTTAAATAGTTATTTTTCCCTGCAGTAAGTAAGCAGAAGCATTAGAAAGTTCTATCAGTTCTTTTCCATTTTCACGTATTGTAATTTTGTCTCAAGATTAATGCAAGAAGCAATTTGATTGCAAAAAACCTCTGTTTTCTCCAAACCTCAAAATGTCGCTAATACACAACAGACCCAATTTGGCTTCCAATTTCAGTTCCAACATAACTCACCAACGTCTGGGAATCACGTTCAACAAACTCTATCTGAGAGTGATCCTGGTTCTACTACTCATTCATCCTCAGATTCTCCACCAAAGAAAACAAGTATCAGAGACCTCTATGATAATACAACAAGATTGGATTTTGACAATTATGTAGACTTTGTTTTATTTGCAGATTCTGATCCCATTTCGTTCAAAGATGCCCGGGAACAGCAAAAATGGAGAAAAGCGATGGATGAGAAGATAAACTTCATGATGAAGAATGATATTTGGAGGTTAGTAGATCTTCCAAAGCATCAAAAAGCTATTGGAGTTAAATAAGTCTATAAGACCAAGCTTACTGAAAAGGGAGAAGTGGATCATTATAAGGCAAGATTAGTCGTGATGGGCTATAAGCAACGTTTTGGAGTTGATTACACAAAAGTATTTGCACCAGTCATTCGCATGGAAACTATTCGATTGGTTCTTGCCTTATTTGCTCAAAATGGATGGAGTGTCCACCAGATGGACGTCAAGTTAGCTTTTCTGAATCGTTACTTATTAGAGAAAGTTTATATCGAGCAACCTGAGGGAGAAAGGTGAAGAGGACAAGGTATGCCTCCTTAATAAAGCATTGTAAGGTTTAAAACAGGCTCCACGAGCCTGGTACAGCCGGATCGACACGTATTTTCTTAGGGTTGGATTTTCTAAATGTTCTCAAGAACATACACTCTATGTTAAAAGGCAAGAAGGAAATCTACTCATGGTTTGCATCTATGTAGATGACTTGATCTTTACAGGGAATTCATTTGAAATGATTGAAGCTTTCAAGATCCCTATGAAGAAATAATTTGAGATGACTAATATGGGACTGCTTCGTTTCTTCCTTGGCATCCAAGTAAGTCAATACCCAAATTTGATTTCTATCTCCCAGCATAAATATGCTAAAGAAATACTAGAAACATTTAACATCAGTAACTGCAAACCTGTTTCAACCCCTATGGATTTTGGCTTGCAATTGTCTAAAAATTCGTTAGAAGAAGATGTTGACCCTGGACTGTAGAAATTTAGTTGGGAGTGTTATGTACTTGACGGGTACAAGACCAGATATCATGTTTGCTATCAGCAAAATTAGTAGATTCATGGAGAAACCTACAAAAGATCATTGGGAGGCAGGTAAGAGGATTTTACGATTTATAAGGGGAACCTTGAGCCATGGAATCTCATACAAACGGTAGAAGATCCTACGTCAAGGGGTTATTATGATAGTGATTTTGGAGGGAGTATTGACGATGGAAGAAGCACTTCTGGTTATATTTTCAATCTGGGATCAGGAGCCATATCCTTTCAGTCCAAGAAACAAAGCACAGTTGCTCTCTCTTCTGTTGAAGCCGAATATATGGCTTTATCTCTTGCTGGTTGTCAAGCCATCTGGTTAAGAGGAATTCTGAAAGAACTTGGAAGCAATCAAGAAAAGGCTACACATATTTTCTGCTATAATAATTCACCCATTGCTCTCACAAAGAATCCTGTTTATCATGGAAGGAGTAAGCATATCAGGATAAGGTATCATTTCATTCGTGAACTTGTTGAAAGAGAAGAAGTTGAAGTTATCTTCTGCTCAACCAAGGAACAAATAGCAGACATACTCACTAAAGCTTTACAAGTTGGAAGCTTTACATCATTTAAGAAGGAACTTGGAGTTGGGCAAGTTTAGCTTAGGAGGGAGTGTTAACAGTTTAAGCTAAACTACTACATGGCTGGGTGAATGCATTTGTTTGAAGCGACACAATGGTTCCTAACTGGTGGCATCTAATTGACAGCATAACTGACAAATGACAGTTATTTCCTTTAGTATATATATGTATGTTCTCTATGTAAATACGTTAAGATGTCTATCAATAATATTTTGTACATATTTTGGTGTCTCTATAGTGTTCCAGATTCTACAGTGTAATCCAAGTCTAGCTTAAGGGGGTGTAAAAATAACTAATCTAGACCTGGTTACTGTTAGTTAGTTACTGTTAGTAGCAGTCATTATCAGTTAATTGACCATATTATAACTGTTGCTTCTTATGTATTTATGTGTAAAAACAGATGTATTGTTAACGTAATTATTGAATAAAAGAAAGTTTCTGTTCTGTGTATAGAAACTCTCTTAATTGCAGCAATCTTCCTGCAATGTCTATGTGATTTTCTGCAACATCTAGCCGCAGCTGCCCAAGACACCAACACCACCATCTCAGAAGATGCAGTGTGCAAAAGATCTCACCAATCTTAAGAGCTATTGATCACCAGCAGATCACCATTTGACATATTTGTTGCCTTGTTCCGGTTTCAACACATGTTTTATCCCTAGAAATACTAATAATTTATGTTGCTAATCAATACTTGCTATAATATATTTGTTAAAATTATAAGCTAAGTCATGTGATTATCTATAAGTTATCTTGTTTATCATAGTTGATAGGTTATTAGCGACAGTTTTTTATTTGGTGGTTATTTACCAACAGTTGTGTTGGTTCATAAACCATATGTTGGTTAACTGTCTGTCGCTTCATATGTGTATATATATGTGTGTTTCTTGAATAGAAAAATTTGCTGTAGTAATAATAAGAATATCCTTTGATCTCCAGCCCTGTTTTTCTGTGTTGTTTCTTATTTTGATCCAACAATATTGCCATCAACAGTAGGTTCAATAACGCGGTAAGTAAGCCTTGCGGATGGAAACATGATCACCATGAATTTTCTTTAACTTTATGCCTTCTTAAAATTGATATCCAGCGATATATTTCCAAGAGAACATGTTTCTTGAGCAAAGGAATCTAATAGGAAAGCTTTTGAAACCATCTAGAAAGGTATTTTAGATTGTTCTTTAAAATTTTGTTCGCTAATTATGATAAAATTGAAGTTAAGAAAGTGTCGAGTAGCTTAATTAACTTCTCAAAGGAGACTATGAGGTTGGTAATATAGAAAGACAATAGATCTAGAGAGAAGCTGGCAGAGGAGGAATAGAAGACTTTAGGAAAGCATGGTTGGTAGAACAACATGCTGCTGAGGTTCATCTTTCATGTCTATTTGATGATGGTAATATATTATTTATTTTATTGTCTTCATGTACGAATTAACCACGTTGAAAACAATATCAGTCATCAGAAATCAAGTTATATATATATATATATATATATATATATATTTAATGAAGATTGGAACCAAGTCCTTACGACAAAGGAAAGCTTTTCAAAAGAATAGATTATAGATGGAAATGATCTCTTTGGTACCACTCTAAAGTTGCATCTTAACAACCGTAGGTGGTCCAATCAAAAATCTTTGTTCCATATGCAAAACCATCCTTAGATATGATTAAACCTATATATATTAACCTCCATAGTTTGGTTCTGGAGTAGGAAAGCATTCAGACTCTTCGACCTGAGAGAGAGAGAGAGATGGGTGGTTTTGTAGGAATTCTCTTCTCGTTGGTAGCAATAATTGTACTGCTTCCAATTCATTCTGTTGGTGGCACTACCAGGAGCTATGAGTTTAATGTACGTCTTATTTGATATGATATCCATCATGTGAACTTTAATCTTTGTTCTAGTTTAATATCATGATCCAAAATACATTTCTACATGCAGATCCAGCTGAAAAACGTGACACGACTCTGCCACACTAAGAGCATGGTTACGGTGAACGGGAAATTTCCAGGTCCACGTATTGTTGCTCGGGAAGGTGACCGATTGCTTATCAAAGTTATCAACCACGTCCCCAATAACATTACAATCCATTGGTAGGATGAGTTGTAATATTAATATTTCTACCTAGTTCTTTGTAATCATAATATCATATATATATATATATATATATATATATGTTTTCTTTGATACACAGGCATGGTATTCGACAGCTTCGGAGTGGATGGGCTGATGGGCCAGCTTACATAACACAATGTCCCATACAAACTGGACAGAGTTACGTGTACAATTACACTATTGTTGGACAAAGAGGAACGTTGTTTTGGCATGCACATATATCATGGCTACGAGCAAGTCTTTATGGCCCTCTCATCATTCTTCCAAAGCTTAATGTCCCCTACCCTTTTACCAAGCCGTATAAAGAAGTTCCCATCATCTTCGGTACGGAAAGCCAAATTCTACATTTTCTTTCAAACAACTTGTTATTTTGTATGTACTTCTGTACAGCACCGTATCATATACAATGCTTCATATGCGCAGGAGAGTGGTTTAATACCGATCCGGAGGCCATAATTGCCCAAGCAACACAAACCGGTGGAGGTCCAAATGTCTCTGATGCCTATACCTTCAATGGGCTCCCCGGGCCTTTGTATAACTGTTCTGCGGAAGGTATTTCTTGAATTTTTTATGGATGCAATGTAGATTGCTTATGTATATTTCAATTGTTAACATATATACATCTAGGAATATATATGAGCTCTGAATTGTTGTTCTTCAAATTGAATTGGCATGCAGATGTGTTCAAGCTGAAGGTTAAGCCTGGGAAGACATACCTCCTGCGATTGATCAATGCAGCACTCAACGATGAACTCTTTTTTAGTATAGCAAATCACACCCTCACCGTTGTTGAAGCTGATGCTATTTATGTAAAACCTTTCGACACGGAAACACTCATACTTGCTCCGGGCCAAACCACCAACGTCCTCCTAAAGACCATTTCAGAATTTCCTRGTGCCAACTTTCTCATGTCTGCTAGACCATATGTAACAGGCCAAGGAACCTTTGACAATTCGACAGTTGCTGGTATTCTAGAATATGAATCATCCATTCCCATGAAAAACCTCCCTCTCTTCAAACCTACATTGCCATCCTTAAATGACACTTCATTCGTGTCAAAGTTTACAAATAGACTTCGAAGCTTGGCAAGTGCTCGATTTCCGGCTAACGTCCCACAGAAGATTGACAGAAATTTATTCTTCACCGTAGGACTTGGGACAAATCCTTGTCCCAAAAATAGAACTTGCCAAGGACCGAACGGAACTAGGTTTGCGGCATCTATCAATAATGTATCCTTTGTACAACCGAGTGTTGCCCTTCTCCAGTCCCACTTTTTTGATCGATCAAAGGGTGTTTATAGTCCATATTTTCCGATTAGCCCATTGGACTGGTTTAACTATACAGGGACTCCTCCAAATAATACCTTTGTGAGCAAAGRTACAAAAGTCATGGTTCTTCCATTTAATACTAGTGTGGAGTTAGTCATGCAAGATACCAGCATTCTRGGTGCTGAAAGCCACCCACTTCATCTCCATGGCTTCAATTTCTTTGTGGTTGGTCAAGGGTTTGGAAATTACAATCCAAAGGAGGACCCGAAGAACTTCAACCTAGTGGACCCTGTCGAACGAAACACAGGTGTGCCTTCGGGTGGGTGGGTTGCCATACGATTTATTGCAGACAACCCAGGTTTGTTTATATGGTAATTCAGATCCAGCTATTGTTATGATTGATACATTTTAGTTGCCATTGATGATATATTTTCTTCTCACCATTTTGATCAGGGGTATGGTTCATGCATTGCCATTTGGAAGTTCACACCAGTTGGGGTTTGAAGATGGCTTGGCTGGTCTTGGATGGAAAACTTCCGAACGACAAGCTTTTACCTCCACCTGTTGATCTCCCAAAGTGCTAAAGTTTCTTTTTTGACTCATTGCATTCGATTTTTTGTCTACAAATCCATTTCCGATTTGAATTTTTCTACCAACTAAAATTATACATTCTTACCGGTTTACATTGAATGTTTCAAGCTATATAATTGACCGCTAACAAGGAGAAGGATCATTATTTGTATACCCTATTTTATGTTAATGAAAGGCATGTCATGCACTAATTTGATGCTATGATAATGGTGTAAGATGTGCTGAATTTTTGTGATACGCAAGACAGACATGCTACATATAGGTGAGTCGTAGGCAACTTTGAAAGTTACGTACATGTCATGTGAATAAGATGGAAAAACTTAAGGTACATTTTCAGCCACGACCCAATGATTTGAAAGTCGCTCAGGCAAGTCGCATGTGTATGTGCAACTTGTACATACGACTAGTTTAGTCACATATAAGTGGCATACTTTGAATTATGCGTTACCAAGACACGTTGCTTACTAGTTGTGTACATGATATGGGAGTTACAAAATCAAGGTGCGTATAAAAGTCATACTTGTAGACTATTCAAATATTGAAGTCAATTTTGTGTAAATTGTTGTTTCAGTTTTCTACTAAAACTGTGAAGAAGTTTAATATAATAAATTCAATATTTAACGTACATCAACGACTATTCGACACAATAGTTTAAGATTTTACTTTTTATTTTTTCACCTATAGCAAGACTTGTTGTATTAGTAGATGAAAAATCGAAATTTTAACTTTTAGGCTTTAGCAATGACGGGTCATCGCTATAGGAAGCTACAACTATGGAGCAACAGTGAAAAGTTCAACAACAACGATAATCATCGCAAAAGACTAATAGAGAGAAAAAAAAAATCTTTATATTTAGGAACGACAACACCATGTATACCTTGTATCTACCGAAGGATTGCCGACATATTGTGAAAAATTGAAATTAAAAAATCGGCAAAAATACTATTACCCGCTGACAGATCACTGTTGGAATATTCTTATATTTTTCTTTTCTCAATTTTCTTTATGTCGATCACTAATCCCTTGATGATATTAAACTATACTGAAGGGTCACGGTCTGTTGGACTATTAATTTGGCAATAAACCTATGAGAAACTATTGCGTTGTTGGAAGGCCATCGGTAATATGTTGAGAATCACCAATGGATATTGGTCGTTGGTGATCTTGGTCGCGGAAAGACTGGACAGTATCTAGTAGCGGTCATGTGTGTGTCTCTCTTTCTTAGCTATCGTCCTTGTATATAACTTTTTTTGAACAAGAAGATTGCATAACATATTTTTTTTTGTAAAAAACTCTACTGTGCTACCAAATGTCGTTTATTCTTTCCTAGATAATGGATATTCATCACCTTGGTCTTCAACTGATGAGCAGAAAGAAAGCCTTACTTTTTTTTTTATCAAGCATTGTAATCTTGGCTCCTCCCCATCCATCAATATTGTTCTTCTTCTCTTTTGGATATTCTACAATATCATAGCATGCCATTTTAAACAATATTATTTTTTTATGTAATATGAACACCATGGTTCTCATGTTGGGTGCCCTTTCATTCTCCTTCTCCGTTTTGGAAGCACGTGGCGTGTGCTTGGAAGTTTGTTGCCAAGGTGACCATTGTCAATGTACTTAATATTTTGGTTTTGACCGTCCCAAAATTTTCATCCATGCCTATATATAAGGATCTCGTATAGGTGATCCTTTTCCATCATTGTCACCAACTGTATAGATATGCCACAAGTACATCTATAACAATTTCAACTTGAGACTTATCTTACATATTAGTTCGTATGTTCTACATGCACTCTCACTACCAAAAATTGGGGTGAAAATAGGTTGGGTTTGTTCGGTTGAAAGCATTTGAACAACCAACCTAACCCAATACCTTCTTTTTTTTAAAATTTACAACTTCATTGGTCCTCGGGTTGTTTTGTCTTGGGTTGGCAGGGGTGCTTCCGGTTGGTCGGGTGTTTGTGCACCCCTAACCAAAATGCTCTTGTAAATCTTCCTATACTTTCTTTGTCTTGTTTTAGCTTTTCTAACACTATTACGTAACTCTTTTTCCACGGGGCTATAAAACCAATGCCATATAATGTAGTTGCAACGCTTCCGTTTAACGATTGGAATCACTACTAGAAAACTGGGCATTTCCGGCGGATTTCCGGCAGAAGTCAAAAAAATTGACTTTTATTGACTTCCGACGGAAATCCGCCAGAAAATCCGCCGAAAAAATTAAACAGGTTGCTTTTCCGGCGGATTTCCGGCGGATTTGTTAATTAATTGTTAATTAATCTTTAAAAATTAATTAAGAACTGGAAAAAATTTAAAATTATAAATTCCGGCGGATTTCCGGCGGAATATTAAAAAAAATAAAAAAAAAATTTAAAAATTCTTTAAAATTAAGTCCGCCGGAAGTCCGCCGGAAATCCGCCGGAAAATATTTTAGAATTTTTTTAAAAAAATATCAAAAACCCTTTTAATCTTTTCCGGCGAATTTCCGGCGGAAAAGTAAATATTTTTTTTAAAAAAATTTAAAAAATTCGTAAACCAAAATTCGTTCTTTGCCAAAACGGCATTGTTTATTCACGAACCCAATATATATGCATAATAATGTGTTGAAGGATATTAGTAACAAAGACGTTAATATGACTTTCAGACACCGACAAAATTTGTTCTTTGCAAAAACGACATTGCTCATTCATGAACCCAATATGCATAATTTCTTCTTTGCAGAAAAAGGCTTCCTTATTCATAAAACGTCCACTGTGACTTATCTAGAGGCATTGCTTTCTAACCTATCGTCCTCGTCTACAAACATGATCGAAAAAGAACCATCGAGAAATAAGTATCTAGAACGTTTTTTTAAATTTGTTGGAGTTTGATCGCAAGGTGCGCTGATACCGTGATAGGAATGAAAAATCTATAGGAAACATGGAATATATATATACATTATACATTTGTTAACAATTATATGAGGGTTGTATATATGAGTCAAAATACAATTAAATGCAACTAAAATTATGCCTAATAGAATCACAAAAATTAGGCAAGGAAAATAATGAAAATGGATAGATAGAGTCAAACAAAAATAGAGATATCGGTTCTTTATTTAACGGTGGTTTTGTAGATGTTCTTGAAGGATACTTGGAGCCTAGTTGAATAACTAGTGGAAGTCATGGCAAGTCCATAAGTAGTTGAATTTTTACACTAGGCGGTAAAGTGGCCTCTTGGGATACAAAAAACAGTATTCCAAATTCCACCATACTGGTTGATTTTTTTGCTTAAGTAGCGGTAGGCATGGAAGCACAACAAAATAAGATTGTGTAAGATATTGAGCATTAGCAACAACCATCAATGTCAACCATTTCTTAGCACAACGATAGTGATTGTGACATATGTAGACTTAGGGATTGGTGTCATTCTTATAAATGTTGGAAGTGCTTTTGTAACACATTGCCAATCATAGTGTTGAACTTGTTTACAAACTTCGATGAAAAAGATTGTATATGTTATTTCTCCATTCTAATATGAGGAATCATGGATCCAATTCGCTCTTGATTTGTTTTGTGGTACTTGAGGAATATATACACAATAGGAATGCCTCGTGGTCGCTATAGTTTTTAGCAATGACCGGTCGTTGCTATACAAAGCTACAACCATGGAGCAACAGTGACAAGTTCTACAACAACTATAATCGTCGCAATAGACTAATAGAGTCAAAAAGAAATTATCGTTAGCGATGACAAAAAGGGTAAATTTAAAAATTGTTTTCCTTATTTAAAGTAAGAAATACTTTTTATTTTTAATAAACGAAAATTTTTTACCAACGGATTATCCGTCGGACAATCCGTCAGACAATCTGCCAGAATTTTTTTTACAGACGGATTCTCCGCCTAAAATCCGTCTTTAATGTAGCTGGTATAGAAAAAAAACCAAAAAAACTCCTAATATAAAATCCTAAAATATAAAGATTCTGTAAATTAAATACATATATACAATACACAAATCAATCATAAATACCTAATATGATTATCTGCACGAAATAATATACATATATAAATTCGATTGATGATACTAGTTCATAAATACACTATATCAAATCTATTGTGGCGGGTCTAAACCTTACATCATATCCGTTATGTTTGCATGCTCTTTCTTCCAAATCTCATCTTCCCTGTTTCGGATCTCTTCTCAACAGAGAAGTTCATCAACCTCCTTCTGTAAGATCTCATCTCGAGTGCATATTTCTTGAATTTGGGATAATAAGTTGTTAATTAACTACAAATACAATCAAGCTAATAAAAACATGTGTTAGATGTATCATATTAAAAATCAAGCTACTAAAGTAATCGATTTCAAGGATCTATCAGGCGAGCACCATGCATGGCGAATGTGATCGATCTGGCAGTGTGTTTAGCTATATCACCATCCACCATGGTCATCCGGTTATCATGCGCCACCTTGGAAACTACACCCTTCCAATGGGGCGTGTTGCAATGATCAATGATCTCGCACCAGATACGAGGATTGAGCCACTTAGGGTGGAAGTCCTTCAACATATTCATATCCTTATTAGGGTCATTTTCTACATAGGGCATTGATTGACTTCTGGCCTTTTCTGCTTCCCCTCTCCTAGCAGAATTCATACCATCATTGTAGTTTTTGGCATCCCGAGTCTCCTATATTTGCAGCATCTTGGCGTCCAGTGCTTGATCCCAACAATAGTACCCCTATACATAAAAGATTAGTTGCTTGTTGAGTTAAAAAAAAAAACTAACAAAAATATAACAAGTTAAAAGAATACTACAAACCTGGAAACGCTCCCACATCCGTGTCTTCACCTCCTTAGGGATTTCGGACCACGTGCACCATGGCCCCTCAATCAATGATCGAATAATCTGAGTCAAATGACAAGTCGCGTGGATGTTGTTAAACCTATGTAATGAGTTGAATTAGTATTGATACCCAAAAATAATTAATTTGATCAATTAGTTAACATAACACTTACTCGTTGGATGTAACACCAATCCTCGTTCTCTCCTCTTGAAGATGTTCCGTAGCACTGATGCCATGGACATTTGCATACTCAAAGTCATCTGCTTGTACAGAAGCACTACTAGATCCTGGAGTAGGTGTAGGTTGGCT